CTAATCACAGGAGAAAAATGATTGTGTGATTCGGCCTTCGTGAGGTTTCTAGAGTGGTGAAATTCATAGAAACAAACCGTAGAGCAAGAGAGTTTGGAGATGGACATTGATAGTGGTTGTACAACAACCATAATGTACCTATGCCCCTGAATTGTGCACTTCTGAATGTTTATAAAGTTCAAATTTATGTTATGCATGTTTTTCACAATTTAAAAAGAAAAACCCTATGGAAGGAGAAGCTTTGGAAGATAAATACAGCCTCCTCCACTACCTGGACACCACATGCATTTTGATTTTGGCACGGTTGGTCCCATGTCCTCTGTTGGCTTTAACTTTGTCAAGCTGACAAAGCCATACAACTGGAATGGTGACTGAATTTGGAAGGGGGTTAATGCTCCCAGTTGTGTGGTTAAGGCAGATGCTGACATGTGGAAACTAGGAAGAAAAGCTGTATGTGCCTCTTACAGGTGTTGTCCCTGATCCAATGTGTGGAAACTTTATATGTTCAGTCCACTTACAGTCACCTACATGAGAAAAACAAACTCTGGGCAGAAATGTGATTCAGAGGGCATGACAAGATGACTGTGTGGCTCAGGCTGTCTGTGAGGCCAAGATGGTAGCCATCATTGATACAGCCCCTGTCGGTGCTTGCTATCCATTGCCCTTTGTGCAACAGGGAGCTATTTCAGAGTGGGCTAGTCTTGCTGCCAACTTGAATACGCTGTAGCAGTATAAGATTTGGAGTTCCTCTTTGGATCAGTGTTCTTGGCCACCACATGGTTAGTGTTCCTAAGAAAGGCTGTTTTCCATTCAGGTATTGAGTCCTGTGAGGCCAGGGGCCACTGTCCCACATCCACCTGATGATTTCAGGTGTTGGAGGTAGGGGAAGGTGGAAGGGGTGGCAGGGCACGTTTTTTGGTGGTGTCAAGATTTAGACGTGAACCATGTGCAATGTTGCATGCCTATAATCCCAGAGGCTCAGGAGGCTGAGGCAGGAGGATCCCGAGTTCAAAGCCATACTCA